CTGCTGGGTGTATGCTCGGCTGTTATGCGATTTTGCTGTTATGCGATTTTACCACACTCGCAAAATCGCACACAGCCGACCATATAACAAACTCTGTATTTTGAGTGGAAATGTTAAGGGGTCGTCTTATACGCCGAGTCGTCTTATACGCCGGCAAATACGGTAATAGGATTCTTGTGCCGAGAGATTGTGAGTTTGCATTTTTCCTTTCTTTTCAGAGATCCTCTTCCTTTCTTTTTGTGCCTTTTCCTAGCATGCTCTCTGGCTAGAGTGTTCTATCTTCCAAATTAGTTCTTGTTTCTTTTCCTTGCCTCTCAAAACTCCCATTCCCTTCATGTGGGTGATTTCAGCTAGATGTAGAAAAGTAGGTTTATTAAGCTAATTTATTGATATGTGAATGACAGCCTTTTTAGCTGTTTTTTGGGGGGTTGGTTTTTTTTTTAATTCTTAACACAAATCTGGGTGGAATTTCAGGAACTATTGCTGTTGTGAGACGGGGTGGAGAGAACAGGGTGCATTTTTGGTGGAAGATGCCGGAGACACTTTACATTGTGCTGTCCACCTCCCACTGGGTTCAAACCAGCCAGACAAAGGTCATTGTTATGTATCGTATGTGATCTTTCCAGAATGGATGGTCATGATCTGTTTGCATCTTTTTATTTCCTTCTATACTCTGACCTTCTTGAAGGAAGAATATATTTCTTATTTATATCTGCATCTGAAATGTCCAGCACAGTGTCCTGCACATAGCAGAAACTCTGTAACACTGTTGAATGAATCACATAGTTTGTGGATTTCTTATCTGTTGCTTTTTGCCTCTTACCTGATGCTGAGAAGTCTGGACTGATCGCCCTTCCATTTTCATCCCCATGTGCAGGTAGCTGTTCTATCAAGCTTGGCATAGCCCAGAACTTCACCTATCCCAGCCCCAGAAGATTGTGTTTTCTTGGGGATGGTTATGACTTGTGGGCTTTGATTCCCCTGGCCCAATTTGCACATATCTCTCTTCACACCTCTCCCCAGCTTTACAAGACTAGTAGATTGTTTGTCTTTGAGAATTGGGTGAAATCATGGTAGTTGGGCCTTTTTCAAGCCACTACATAACCCTTTGTGATGGTTAATTTTGTGTCAACTTGAATGGGCCATGGGGTGCCCAGATATTTGGTCAAACATTCTAAGTGTGTCTCTGAAGGTGTTTTTGGATGAGATTAACATTTAAATTGGTAGACTGAGTCAAGCAGACTGCCCTCCCTAATGTGGGTGGGCCTCATCCAATCAGTTGAAGGCCTGAATAGAACAAAAGGCTGACCCTCTCCCAAGTAAGAGGATTCTTCCTGCCCTCAAACTAGGCTATTGGCTTTCTTCCTACCTTCATACTTGAACTGAAGCATCGGCTCTTTCTGGGTCTCAAGTCTGCTGGCCTTCAGATGGGAACTACACCATCAGTTCTCCTGGTCCACAGGCCTTCAGACACATGCTGGAAATAAACCATTAGCTCTCCTGGGTCTCCAGCTTGCAACTAACCCTGCAGATATTGGGACTTGCCTTCATATTCGTGTGAGCCAATTCCTTACCTGCATTCTACTGGTTCTGGTTTCCCTGGAGAACTAATACGCCCTTGTTTCATGTATGTTAATATTTCGTAGTTTGTGGTTCATGCAGTGTGTTTGTCAGTGGGCGATGGCCACCAGCTCACAACTGTTACGGAATTACACTGAACATTACTTTTTAGGACCCCTGAAATCATAATATGTAGGCCGTCACCCACTCCTGCTCCGCAGCCTCTCTATAGGACCACATGCCTATCTGGTTTGGAAATGGAAATTCAGCCAGGTAGCCTGCTAATTGCCAAGTAACAGAACAGACTCCATTTTCACTTTAGGGTGACAGTGGGTGGAATATGTATGTTGTGAGTTCTGTGCATGTTGGGGGCTGAGAATTGATTCCAGTTAAACTGTAAGCCATTTTGGAGCTGAGATAGCACTGCGCTTGATGATGCTTCCTAGTGAAGGACTCAGTCAATGTGACTGATAGGCTGTACCGAGGTGAAATAGTTGGCCAGGCAGCTGCCATGTTGAATATTGCCTTTTTAGTATTCGTGATGAAAAGCTGTATTGGT